AGCACAGGTAGTAGGAGCAGAAGCAGCAGCTCAGCAGGCAGGCAGGCAGGCAGGCGGCGCAGCAGCGTGCTCACCGGTGGCAGGGAGGCGCGCGGCGTGCAGCGGGGCCGCAAACCTGGCTGCAGAGGAAGGCCGCGTCAGCTGCAGGGCGGGGCAGTGTCGGCGGCAAGGCGGGGCCAGGCTGGGCCGCGTCGGTGGCAGGGCGGGGCCGCGGCAGTAGTAGGACGGGGCCGCGCCGGCGGCAGGGCGGGGCCGCGAAGGCGGTAGGGCGGTGCCGCGTGGGCCGCGTCGGCAGCAGGGCAGGGCCGCTGCCCGGCGGAGCCGCTGCGGCGGTAGGGCGGGGTCCCGCGAGTGTAAGGGCACCGTGACGGGCAGGCAGGGGACCGGGCGCGGGCTTAGGGCGACGCGACGGGCAGGCAGGGGGCCGGGCGTGGGTTTAGGGCGACGCGACGGGTAGGCAAGGGGCCGGGCGCGGGCTTAGGGCGACGCGACGGGCAGGCAGGGGGCCGGGCGCGGGCTTAGGGCGACGCGACGGGCAGGCAGGGGGCCGGGCGCGGGCTTAGGGCGACGCGACGGGCAGGCAAGGGGCCGGGCGCGGGCATAGGGCGACGCGACGGGCAGGCAAGGGGCCGGGCGCGGGCTTAGGGCGACGCGACGGGCAGGCAGGGGGCCGGGCGCGGGCTTAGGGCGACGCGACGGGCAGGCAAGGGGCCGGGCGCGGGCTTAGGGCGACGCGACGGGCAGGCAGGGGGCCGGGCGCGGGCTTAGGGCGACGCGACGGGCAGGCACTGGGTAGGCGCGGGCCTTAGGGCGACGCGACTGGCAGGCGGGGTGCTGGCGCGGGCTTGAGGCGACGCGACGGGCAGGCAAGGCAGGCGCGGGCCTTAGGAGTGGCGCGACAGGCAGGCAAGGTAGGGCGCGTGTGGGGCAGCGCGGTAACCGCAGGCAGGCAGGTGTTCGGTGGGCCCAGGAAAAAAAAATCCGGTCCTAACGGACGAACCGCTCTGAAACCATGTTAGAAAGTCTAGGCAATAATGGATTGCATTGAAAGAAGGTTGGGTACAAGTAGCAAACCCTAGAGGGGTTGTACCCCATATTGGCTACCCCACTATAGCCTACACAAGTATAACATATACACTTTGACAAGAAGGCTGCGGAAAGCTCTGACAATTCTACGGACGACAGGGTGACTGTGAGATTGTGCCATCGCCCGTATTTCATACGGTATGTCATGGCAGAAAGCTCAGAAGGTGTGGGCATTCCTTGCAGATATGGCATGGCATGCTATGCTATGCTAGACTTTCCTGGAGTACAAGAAAAAATTGGTAGGGATGCGTGGGATGCGGTAGTATAGCATGTTGAAAGCAAAAAATCAGTGTGTCAGCTGAATGTTCTTACTCCAGGAATACCGTAAGTTATTCGTAACACCCCAATACATATGAAGTATGTACATCACCTGACGAAGCAAGTACCATATGCAGTGTGGCTCAATGTACCAACCATTCAGAGTTTTTTTAACCGTATGATCCATCACCTAAAGATTGAGAAAGCTTGCTTTCTGTTCTTGCAAAGGCAACTGGCTTCATTACAATTGCAGTAATACAACATTCTCGTCCAACTATGGATCATACAAATATTGGAACAACTAGGGTGGGTGGGTGGGGAGTGAAACTGCAAAGTTCTGAAATGAAGTCGTGGGTGGAGGCCGAATGGCCTCCAACCCTCGTTATGTACTCGGCGAATTGTAATTCGCCGTTGCTTTGCTTCGTTACAGGCAGCTGCGCTTTCACAATACGCATTTTTAGAAAGTGTTACACACTTTCGAAAAATTTCATATTGAGAAAGCTTGCTTTCTGTTCTTGCAAAGGCAACTGGCTTCATTACAATTGGGTCTTCTGAGACATGTGCAGCTGGAACGTTGAAGACGTGGTGAGTGTAGATGCGGTTGATGACATGGACGAAGTGCCAGGAGGGGCGGCGTTGGTGAGTCGTGGGCTCCATGTCGATGGCGTCTGAGGTGCTGTGCACGAAGGTTGCTCGTGCTGTTGATGTGGATGTCCCTTGTTGTTGTTGCACCAGGATAGTGGTTGAAACTGGTGGTTCCCGTACTCTACACGCCCAATGCACGGTACAACTTTTATCATGGGATTTAGCTTCCATGTGCTCTGCTTTACCTTACAATTCTAGTCGTTTGATGTTCCCGGCCGGAATAACTACAACGTGGATGGATGCAAGGGTTTGAAGTGGTAGTCGGGTGAGTGTGGTATTCGTCATGTTGCTTCCCTGTCGGGTGTTATCGAACCAAGTGGGATGAGAATGATGGCGAAAACCGATCCCATTGCCATTGCCCTTATTTGGAAAACACGGAATGTGGTTTAAAAGTGTGTGAACACCAACTTGAGTCAAGTCAAGATTTTAAAACCAACTGGAGGTGCACTTGAACAAATGCTTCCCGAGATTTCAGTGGGGCTCCAACCAGCCTTTATTGGTCATATTAAAAGTAAATGGGGTACATAAAAAACCAAGGATGATCCAGTCATACAAACGAGCACATTTTTCGAAAATTTTTACCCATTTTACGGTAAGGCCAACGTGTGGACCTTCGAGTCTCTTCCCCCCTGGGGGACGGCTCTCAGTCCACGCTAGGACCCTCGGTCCCCTTCCCCCCCTGGGGGACGGCTCTCAGGCCACACGGGGACCCTCGGTCCCCTTCCCCCCCTGGGGGACGGCTCTCAGGCCACACGGGGACCCTCGGTCCCCTTCCCCCCCTGGGGGACGGCTCTCAGGCCACACGGGGACCCTCGGTCCCCTTCCCCCCCTGGGGGACGGCTCTCAGGCCACACGGGGACCCTCGGTCCCCTTCCCCCCCTGGGGGACGGCTCTCAGGCCACACGGGGACCCTCGGTCCCCTTCCCCCCCTGGGGGACGGCTCTCAGGCCACACGGGGACCCTCGGTCCCCTTCCCCCCCTGGGGGACGGCTCTCAGGCCACACGGGGACCCTCGGTCTCTTCCCCCCTGGGGGACGGCTCTCAGTCCACGCTAGGACCCTCGGTCCCCTTCCCCCCCTGGGGGACGGCTCTCAGGCCACACGAAGACCCTCGGTCCCTTCTTTTTATTGGGAGACGTCCTTGGGTGCGCGTTGAGTTGATCCTGTCGTAAATGTAGTTCTCCCGCGCGACCAGTAGAGTCTTTAAAAATGTCTTTCCACACCCGTGGTGTTGAGCCTATTTTTCTGCCACCAAGTAACAATAGGAGCATAGAGATTAATGGAAAATAATCGAAGAGATCATAACGGAAGAAAAACTTATAACTTAAAAGACTTGCAGCACGTAGGCAACAAATGACGCCCAGTCAAACGACTTAGGCGCTGCAGTAGCAATTTCGTAACTGCCGCTCCAGCGGCCATTTCGTCCCTCGAGCGCTGGTGGCGATTTTGCCACTGGCGCACGTGGCAATTTCTCCACATGCGCGCGTGTGGCGATTTCGTCCCTGACGCGCGGCATTTGCGCCAGCGGCGATTTCGTCCAGATCGTGCGCCACTGGCGCCAGTGGCGATTTCGTCCCTAGCGCGCGCCACTGGCGCCAGTGTCGATTTCGTCCCTGGTGCGCGCCACTGGCGCCAGTGGCGATTTCGTCCCAATCGTGCGCCACCGGCGCCATTGGCGATTTCGTCCCTAGCGCGCGCCACTGGCGATTTCGTCTCTGGCGCACCTGTTGGCGTTATGTCCGACGCACTTCGATCTCAGTTGAGCGCCCGCCAGTTACAGTCGCACTCGTGATCGTTTGCCCTTCATGGAAAATCAAGCGCCTGGGTTGAAGTGAGGGCGCGTCACCTCTCAAGCAGTCGGCCAAAATTCGAATGCTGTCACTATTTTTCAGTGCCCGAACAGCACAATTCCGATGTTCGAACAAGATTTGAAAATTTGGTGAAAGGTGACGGTGTGTCACATGAAGTGACAGGTGTGTTCGAAAATGCGACGTCACCTGTCGTGCGACGTCGTACAACCGTCGTCAGAAGATTTTGATTGCATAACGAACATAAAAAGGCAGTCGTAAGATACCTGGAAACTTCTTCGTGCTGTTCGTGGGCGTCGTATGTGCTCATCCCGAATTACATTCGAACGAACTCATTCGAACAGCAAGCGCGAAATCCCTCGTGCTGGATGTGACAGCTCTGTTCGATTTAGCGACGTTTCTATTTGCGAACTAACGAGGACTCAACGAACTGCTTGCGAAACTAGGCGAGATGTGTAACATGTCGCTTGTTCGAACAAAGGGCTTTGTTCGAACTTTGAGGTGACGCGCCCTGAGTAATAGCTTAGAAGATAGTTTCTAGCGACAAAGGAAACGGTCGAGGTGGTTGGACGAGAATTGGAGTGAAACTGCAAAGTTCTGAAATGAAGTCGTGGGTGGAGGCCGAATGGCCTCCAACCCTCGTTATGTACTCGGCGAATTGTAATTCGCCGTTGCTTTGCTTCGTTACAGGCAGCTGCGCTTTCACAATACGCATTTTTAGAAAGTGTTACACACTTTCGAAAAAAATCATATTTGTTGAGCACCATAAACATGAAATACTGGAAGGGATGCAACAAATTTGAGCAACATGGTAGTACCGGTATTAGGAATCCATGCTAATGGGAATGAGATGAGAGTATGGGATGGATAAGAATGTGATGCATGGGAGGCATGTCATGTCATGGGTAGGAAGGGAATGCAAGGGGTTGGTTAGTGTTACGTTAGTTACGGTATGGACTGATTATCGTCGTTCAGGGAAGAAAAAGAGAACAGGCGTAACATAGACAGCTGTTCTAAGTGATGTGCTGAAGATTTGACCGTATGTCCATTGATAACTTTTTATAGTACATGAACCATGATGCTATTCATGCATTATTAACCCTCCCTTCCCCATAATGTCCACTACCATGTCATGTGCCACACCTCACTTCAGAGTACACGAGCTGCTGCTGATATGTATGAAGACTCCATAGATATGGCGATTTTAAATGTCGGCCGCGGGCTGGCTCTCAGTGGCAGAGTTGGTCATGGAGTAGCTGTTGCCGTTGCCGAAGCGCAGCTCCTGCACGCAGGGCCGGAAGTCCCACGTGTACGCATACACAATGTTCACCGTCTCCCCAGGGAGCATCTGCAGAGTGCCGCTAGCACCGCGGTTCATGCGCATCTCACAGGACCCCGTCGCAACCTGCACGAAGATTTCGCCTTGCTGGTACTGCGTGGGGTTAGGCGCGGGGTTGTCGAGGATGCCCTCCCACACGTTGCCGAAGTTGAAGCACTGGTACACGCGCAGCGGGCTGGTGACGTTGTAGGCGCAGCCGTTGTAGAAGGTCATGTTGTAGATGTCGTTGTGCAGGTCGTACGGCCCCAGGTACTGCGACCGGATCGTCACCGTCGTGCGCCCGCAGGCTGCACAAGTGGGAGGGGAGGCAGGGAAGGGGGAGAAAGGAAAGGGGCAGGGTCATGAGATCCCTGGTTCTGCGAGCGGATCCTCACCGTCGTGCGCCCACAGGCTGCACAAGTGGGAGGGGAGGCAGGGAAGGGGGAGAAAGGAAAGGGGCAGGGTCATGAGATCCCTGGTGCTGCGACCGGATCGTCAGCGTCGTGCGCCCGCAGGCTGGAGACAAACATGGAGTAAGAAACGAAGATTCTAACCGCCATGTGCGCACACACTTCAGCACACAACAGAGGAGGAGGCAATGGGAGTAGAGAAATGAGAGGCAAGGGGAGCAGAGGAATGAAAGGCACGGGTAGCAGGGGAATGAGGGGCAAGAGGAGCAGAGGAATGAGCAAGGGAGCACAGGGTTGAGAGACAAAGGGAGCAGAAGAATGAGACGCAAGGGGAGCAGAGGAATGAGAGGCAACGGGAGCAGAGGAATGAGAGGGGGAGCAGGAAAATGACAGGCAAGGGGAGCAGAGAATAGCAGAGGGAAGAAGCGGGAAGAGAGGGAGAGGAGAGAGCAGCGTTGCGTACTGGTGGCGAGGGCCTGGCGGCGGGGGATGTGGTCGAGGTAGTCGGCCACACAATGCGTGGTGAGCGAAGGTCTCAGCCGCCAGAATGCGCGCGCCCTTCCTCTGCTGCCCCGCCGCCCCCGCCCCGCCAGGCGCGGCGCCGTCCGTTGGGACGAGGCCTCTGGCTACCTTCATGGCGTCCCGCGCTCCACTCACCGCCGCCGCCAGCAGCCCCACCGCCAGCGCTGCCAGCACCAGCACGCGCATGCCAGCCGTCGCCATGAGGTAATGCCGCGGAGATTACAGGAGAGAAGCGAGAAGCTTGAGGGGCTTGATGCGGCAAGTGAATTGGTGAGTGAGAGGATTAGAGGGAGCACTGGTCGAGCTGATGACTTCATGGTCGCCATTATGGCCGCTTTATAGGTCGCGTTAGACCTTGAGATGCGATGCGTGGATGATGCTAAGGGAGGTTTCCTCTCCTCTGGCATGGAGCAGGAACCAGGAATCAGCCTTTCTGCTGCTGCAGCTGCTGCTGAGGAGTCATCGCTGCTGCGGTGATGAAGGAGGTGATGAGTCAGAACGGCACGGCAAAGGTCACTGCCGATTGCCATGCTTGACTACAGGAACCGTTTTTCTCACTGTTGGCGTGATGTTGTAACCAGACGTGGTGTCGAGCGGAGCACGGATCATGCGGCGCGGCGGGCACGCCTATTGTCGCTGAATGAACACAGGGTCGTAAGGCAACTGAGAAAATGGGATAATTTTCTAGCGATTCGATTTCTGAAACAGGGCGACTCGATCTGTCGGTAAGCAAAACAAACATGATGTAATCCATGGACTCCTAACCAGTGGTTAAACGAAACGACAGCGTTAACCACCACGCAGATTAGTGTCCTTTCGTTTGACCTCCTGGTTTCCATGTCAGTCCCGACCTCTCGTGTCCTGGTGTCCCGACACCCGGCTCGATCTCACATCTCCCCTCATCTCGGTACTTGCGAGCCAAATCTCGGAAAAGCGGAGCTGCTTAGACAGTTAGAAAGCACTCCACGCGTCTAACGACGCGCAGCAGCCGGGTCGCGTCCAACAGTAGCGTTTGCAACGATAGAACCTTGTCTACCCTACAGTCTGGTACCGTACGACGAATCGCGCACCTGACAGAGCTTGTAGGGATTTCTCAAGATGTTTTTCAGGATGATGAAGAGAGGGAGAATCGAGGAACAGAAATAGCAGCAGACAGGAACTTGTCTCGCTCGCCTGGATCCTTCATTTCTCGACTGTTGGTGTTCCTTGGGTTTTCGCAAAAACGGTTATCGTCTATCGCAAGCCTTTCGCAGTCCTCGTACATCTGTTACATTAGAAGGAAACTCGAGTTTTGTTCTCCCGAACCATTTGAACTGCGACCATGTGTGTGGATGGAGATTTCCATAAAATTCCATCAGCTAGGCCTCAACTTTTGGAAAGTTGGGTAGGACCAATGCCCTCAGAACATATTCATGTCAAATTATACAGGAGATAATAAACCAAATTCCACACCATGGCTTCTCCAACAGCCCCTAGATACCTCCCATCCGTTTCCGTACTATTCTTGCCTTAAGTGGCTTCGGCAAAGCAGGAGTGGTGCGGATCCTTTGGCCCACACGTATCGTCGGGGCGAGGGGCTGCGATCAGCCAATCATTGAGAAGCTGCAGCCCATACCGTCCCAAGTTCCTGGCAACAACTCTGTTCATGTGTGCAATGAGGGTGCTTGTTCCGTCGTAACAAAAGTCGTTGAGCCATTTTGGAGGGATGCTTCGGAACAAAAACCAAGGGCCTGCCCTGCCAGGCAACGCCGAGGTTTCAGCCTTCTGCCGCTGTTGCTGCGGCTGCCGCTGCACCTGCATCGCCAGTTCCCTCTGAAAGTAAACCCACTGCAGGTAGTTGGGGAGATAGTAACCCAACGCGTTCTCTGGCTCGGCACAGAAAACCGTCATCCAGAAGCCGCCGTCTACAAGCGTCACACTGGCTGTCGTGGAAATGTTTGGAAACGTGAGCAGTTCAAATTCCGTGACGTTCTTATAGCTGCATGGTGATTACAGTGAAGGGAGGAGTGGCAGAAAGGATGGGAAATAACGTGGAGTGACTTTACTTCCCATCCTCCGAGAGGATGGAGGATGCAGTGTGTTTACTCCACTGAGGATGGAGAATGGAGCGTGTTTATTCCACTGAGGATGGACCTTGAACCCTTCGAGATCAAGCCCCACGGGGGATGAAGGTGCAAGCAGTGGCACCAAATGCACTGCTACTCAACTGAGAGCTGAACGCCACGAAACGAAGGGATGAAAACCATGGAGTAGATAGATTTTAAACAGAAAAGGGAGAAGGAAATAAGAAAGAAGACAAGCTGTGCACCAACACTGTACCTGCAGCCAAAAGGCCCGTCGATGTAAATCCCTCTGATCCAGTAAAAATTGAGCGTTAGAGGCTGCAAATCGGGGCTAGGGGGGGCACGACCAACTGATGATATTCATGAAGCTTGACAGCAGATGCATTGGCCTTGCCGGTGAGGAGGAAGAAGAGGTGGTGGTAGAGGAAGCGCAGGTGAGAATCCCCGACAAAGTTAATCTCGGAAATACCCCGGGATTGGAGGGCGGAGAGCCACTGAGAGGCGGGGGGGAGGGGGTGCGCGCAGGGGTAGAGTTGCCACTCGTAGGCCCGCTTCTGTGCGTTGAACAGCCAGCGACCGTGGATGGCATGGTTACACGGCGAATCTGGACCGTACGTTGCATCGAGAGAGGATTTGTTGCTGGCTTGGGACTGTGTGGTAGGAGCTGGTTCTGGTTCGGTAGTTGGTTTGGTAGCTGGTTCGGTGGAGGGTTCGGTAGCTGCTTCGGTGGCTGGTTCGGTAGCTGGTCCGGCGGACGGTTTGGTGGGTGGGAGGACAGTGAGAACCCATTCGGCCATGACATGCGATTTTGTCTTACGGACCCGATGCAAGTAGTCAGACGCAAAGTCCAGCGTGTCGCACTCTGATTGGACGAGGGAGATGGTTGATTGGAAAACGGAGAGGAGGGGAGACGAAAGAAAGAGGGGCATATGGGATCATCAATAGTGAGAGTGCGAATGCTTAACTGAAGTGGAGAGAAGGATATGGGGAGGGAACGGAAATAGAAGCATGAATCACCCATACCTTCCCTGCACTCCCCATTTTTCCACCCCCTCCCTCTCCCCTTTCACCTGCTACCCATTACCCCCATTCCCATCCTTCCACGTTCTTCCTCCTCCCTCCTTCCCAGTCCCCCTACCCCACTCTTCCCCTCCCCAACTTCCCCTTCCCCGTACCCCTCCCAATTCCCCCAAGCCTCACCTGTAGTCACCAGCCTCCCACACGCGGTATGTGACTCGCCATCGTGTGACGTCACCGTCCTCTGTAGTCACATCCGCTATAGCCAAGGCAGGCCCCATCAGCCTCACCACCAGCGACTCGCGCAGCCCACCCATACTGATCCGCGCGCTGCTGCTGCCGCCGCCGCCGCTGCCGCCGCCTCTATATCTCTTCCACCACGCAATTTTATCTTGTGCTATCGGGGTCAGCCGGCCGTTAGGAGGAGGGACCCATCTGGCGGGAGGTCGGACGGCGATCTCGAACGCGCAAAGCTCGCCCACCGTGCAACGGGAGCAGCCCCCGCCGGAAATTAAAACTCCTCCCCTTTGTCGCTCCCGAATGGTATCCTCCGCGTTCCCTGCCTGCATGCTACCATTCTGCTGTGTTGAACCGTTCTGCAGCGCCTCGCCATGATTCGATTCTTTCCCGCCGCTCGTTTCCGACGAGTCACCCCCGCTGTACCCGCCATGGTCCCCGGACCACCAGCAAATTGGATCGTATCCTACCAGATTTCCCGGAACTTGGCAGTTCTCCTGGTTCGCGGCCACGTCAGCGGTTGAGTTACCCTGCTCTTTCGCGTTCAGTGACGGATCGCCGGAATGGTTTCCCGCGGAAAGCGCGCCGTGCCCAAGGTGGAGGCTCGGTGGGTCAGTGTACAGCGTATACGGGTCAATAAAGAAGCTGTAGAATAGTAACGGAACTACCGCTATCGCGAATAGCGCTAGCAAGACCACACAAGGTAGCCAAGACTGTTTTGAGTCATGAGCTAAGAAAGCTGCCATGGCGGAGTAGCCAACTTGAGACTCATCATCTCGTGAGAATCGAGATAAATCTCACAATATCACTTCCGAAATCGTACGGTCCCAAATTATGATATGTTTCAGCTCTAGATCAAGTTTAGGATTCTCCGATTTGGAGCCTACGGCAGGCCCAAGTAAGACTGCTCGCACAGCATTGCTGCAGCAGATTTCCTCTGAAGAACCTAGAATCTGAACGTTTCCGGTTTCAACGAAGGCTGGCGAAAGATGTGGAATAAATCAGGGCTCAAAATTTCGCGAATGTTGGGATTTGTTCAATCCCTCGCGAGATGTTCGGGGTCTTTCGATTGGCTGCGAAAACGCTTCGTGAAACCGAACGGTACGGTAAATCAGCCCCGTAATAATCCCGCCCGCGGGAGGACAATACAGGTAGGACAACAGAGTAAATAGCTCGGTTCTGGCGTGTTGGCAGGGGATCCTAAACCAGAACGTTTGTACCCGCAAAGCAAGTACAGTACGCCTGGCCCGCGCCGATTTCAAAAACCTCGCACCGAGCCGCGAGTCTAATCACCCTGCTGCAGCAACCCTGTGCGAGGAAGCAGCCTTACTAGGGCCCGGCGTAGGCTTCAAAACGAAGCACCCTAAACTTGATCGAGAGCCGAAATGGACCAAATTCTGGGACCTTGCGATCTCAGACTTATCGGAACATTTCTTTCGATACTCACGAGATGATTGGTCTCAAGTTGTTATTATTGTTGTTATTTTGTTAGCTACTATTCGGTCGGACGAAGCCCCGGCGCCATGTCCGCTTTCTTATCTCATGACTCGAAACAGTCATGAGATAAGAAACTCGAAACAGTCATGACTCGAAACAGTCTCGGAACATTTCTTTCGATACTCAAGAGATGATTGGTCTCAAGTTGTTATTATTGTTGTTATTTTGTTAGCTACTATTCGGTCGGACGAAGCCCCGGCGCCATGTCCGCTTTCTTATCTCATGACTCGAAACAGTCATGAGATAAGAAACTCGAAACAGTCATGACTCGAAACAGTCTCGGAACATTTCTTTCGATACTCACGAGATGATTGGTCTCAAGTTGTTATTATTGTTGTTATTTTGTTAGCTACTATTCGGTCGGACGAAGCCCCGGCGCCATGTCCGCTTTCTTATCTCAAGTTGTTATTATTGTTGTTATTTTGTTAGCTACTATTCGGTCGGAGGAGGCTATTCGGGAGCGACAAAGGGGAGGAGTTTTAATTTTCGGCGGGGGCTGCTCCCGTTGCACGGTGGGCGAGCTTTGCGCGTTCGACATCGCCGTCCGACCTCCCGCCAGATGGGTCCCTCATAAAGCCCGGCTGAGCCAGATCGCTCAAGGCAAAAAGGAGTGGACTATGAGGCATACAGGCGGCGGCGGCGGCGGCAGCAGAAGCAGCGGCGCGCGGATTGGTATGGGTGGGATGCTCGAGTCGCTGGTGGTGAGGCTGATGGGGCATGCCTTGGCTATAGCGGATGTGACTACAGAGGACGGTGACGTCACGCGCTGGCGAGTTACGTATCGAGTGTGGGACGCTGGTGACTATAGGTGAGTTGGGGGGAGGGGGAGGGAAGGAGGGAGGGGGAGGGAAGGTGTGACGGAGGGAAGGGGAAGTTGGGGAGGGGAAGAGTGGGTGAGGGGACGGGGAAGGAGGGAGGAGGAATTGAACGTGGAAGGAGGGGACTGGGGGTGACAGTTAGAGCGTGGAACATCCTTATGAACAACTGTTTGGTCAGCTCTTTGGTCGAACATTTCTCTCGTCAATCGTTTGCGACGGCTTTCGTCAGGTAACACGCAAAACCCCAGATTGCAAATCGGAAACACTTGGTCGCCCAGAAACATGGAGTCGTGATGGTACACGAATAGCGCCGAATTCGTCAAACACCGTAGTGCAAATTGGAGTGCAGCACGTCACTGACGGCAACATCTGGTTGCTTGTCGCGTGTTTCTCCTGACGTCGCCACTTCTTGTCCTATCCGCGAGGTCCAAAATGTGGGGCGACCAACGAGCATCTTGCAGTCTTCGTCACTCCGTTTCGTAGGTCAGTGGCTGCTGTCGCAGTTGGGCGACCAACGCCTTGTTCAAAAGGATGTTCCACGCTCTTAGCAGGTGAAGGGGGAGGAGAGAGGGGGTGGGAAAATGGAGACTGCAGGGATGGGTTGGGTAATTCGTGCTTCTTATTCCGTTTCCCCCCAATCCGTTTCTCTCCAATTCTGTTCAGCCTTCACATGCTCACTATTGATAATCCCACATGCCCCTTCTTTCTTTCTTATCCCATCCTCGTCATAACCAGCGTCCTCGTCCAATCAGAGTGCGACATGCTGGACTATGCTTCTGACTACTTGCATCGGGTCCAAAGGACAAAATCACATGTCATGGCCAAATGGGTTCTGACTGTCCTCCCACCCACCAAACCGTCCGCCGGACCAGTTCTCAAACCATCTACCGAGCGTGCTACCGAACCATCCACCGAATCAGTTACCAACCAACCCACCGAAGTAACTCCTACTGAAGAGTCCCAAGCCAGCAACAGTTCCTCTCATGATGCAACGTACGGTCCAGATTCGCCGTGCGACCATGCCATCCACGGCCGCTGGCTGTTCAACGCACAGAAGCTGGCCTACGAGTGGCAACTCTACCCCTGCGCGCACCCCCTCCCCCCCGTCTCTCAGTGGCTCTCCGCCCTCCAATCCCGGGGTATTTCCGAGATTAACTTTGTCGGGGATTCTCACGTGCGCTTCCTATACCACCACCTCTATTTTCTACTCACTGGCAAGGCTAATGCTTCCACTGTACACTACTATGCCGACCTCCAATTGGTCGTGCCGCCCCCTAGCCCAAATTTGCAGCCTCTGAAGCTCAATTTCTACTGGATCGGAGGGATTTACATCGACGGGCCTTTTGGATGCAGGTGCAGTGTGCGAGCAACGCTTGTCTCTTTTATTCTAATCTGTTCCATGGTTTTCATCCCTTGATTTTGTGGCGTTCATCTCTCGATTGAGTAGCAATGCAACCGCTGCCTCAGCACCTGCATCCCCCACGTGGCTTGATCCCTCCCGGAGGATTCAAGGCTCTAAACACACGCCATGTGCCTTCCTGTCCTTTCTGCCACTCCTCCCTTCACTGTAATCACCATGCAGCTATAAGAACGTCTCGGCATTTGAACTGCTCACGTTTCCAAACATTTCCTCGACAGCCAATGTGACGCTTGTAGACGGTGGATTCTGGATGACGATTTTCTGTGCCGAGCCGGAGAACGCGTTGGGGCATTATCTTCCCAACTACCTGCAGTGGGTTTACTCTCAGAGGGAACTGGCAATGCAGGCGCAGCAACAGCAGCAGCAGCAGCAGCAGCAGCAGCAGCAGCAGCAGCAGCAGCAGCAGCAGCAGCAGCAGCAGCAGCAGCAGCAGCAGCAGCAGCAGCAGCAGCAGCAGCAGCAGCAGCAGCAGCAGCAGCAGCAGCAGCAGCAGCAGCAGCAGCAGCAGCAGCAGCAGCAGCAGCAGCAGCAGCAGCAGCAGCAGCAGCAGCAGCAGCAGCAGCAGCAGCAGCAGCAGCAGCAGCAGCAGCAGCAGCAGCAGCAGCAGCAGCAGCAGCAGCAGCAGCAAAAGAAAAAGCAGCAGGAAAATCAAGCTTCAGTGCTGCCTTCTAGGCCGGGCCCGTGGTTTCTGTTTCGAAGCATCCCTCCAAGACGGCTCAACGACTTTTGCTACGACGGAACAAATACGCTCATTTCACACATGAACAAAGTTGTTGCTGGGCACTTGGGACGGTACGGCCTGCAGCTTCTCAATGATTGGCTGATCGCAGCCCCTCGCCCCGACGATACGTGCGGGCCAAAGGATCCACACCACACCTGCTTTGTTGAGGCTGCAAACGGCAAGAATAATAATAACACGGGAACGGATGGAAGGTATGAGGGGGCCGTGGGTGAAGCGATGGTGTGGAATTTGGTGTACCATCTCCTGTATAATTTGACGTGAATATGCCTGAGCGAGTGCACCGTACTTGGGCTCAAAATGCACCACGTATATGGTTTTCCCAAGGTCTTACTTTAGGACCCAATTGCAGGCAAGCCTCACATCTGTTCAGGTGTTTCACATTATATTGCTCCTTTACTGGTAGGATGCACATATGTACTTGGAACTTCTGCAAACGGTATTAGACGTCGTTAAAACCAGACCCCTACACCCTACACCAGCAATAGCCTGACAACCTGGCAACATGAAGAGGATTGATACTGTTACTCTTCCTCCACGAGGAAATCAATCCATGCGATGTGACAACTGTGAAACAAGGGCATGTCAAGTCCTCAGACTTGTAAGTCACACAAATCACCTCGTAAGTACCAATACTTGCGCTGAAACCAGTGGATGGGGCAGGAGGGGTTCTCCTAGACGTGGCACGCAAGGGGTTCCCCATCCCCCCTCCTGCATCCGTCCCCCCTGCCAGGGTCTGCATCAGAGGACTCGCACCCGTCGCTCGCAAGTTACTTGAAGCTGAAACCAGTGGGTGGGGCAGGAGGGGTTCTCCTAGACGTGGCATGCAAGGGGTTCCCCGTCCCCCCTCCTGCATCCATCCCCCCTGCCAGGGTCTGCATCAGAGGACTCACACCCGTCGCTCGCAAGTTACTTGAAGCTGAAACCAGTGGGCGGGGCAGGAGGGGTTCTCCTAGACGTGGCACGCAAGGGGTTCCCCATCCCCCCTCCTGCATCCATCCCCCCTGCCAGGGTCTGCCGCAGCGGACTCGCACTCCTGGCAGTACTTGCAGACGGGACCATGGGCGGTCCCCGAGCCATCACCGGACCTGGGACCATAGCTCCGGGAACTCCCGCACCTAGCGGGTTGGGCACGGAGCCCATGGTCATGCCTCGGGTGATAGCTGGCGGCTGTTGATTGGCGGAGGAGGAGCGGGAAGGCTGGAATGACGATGCATGTGTGATACCATAAGAGGAAGCCCCCGCTCCTGCAGCTGCTGCTGCTCCTGCTGCTGCTGCTGCTGCTGCAGATGAGGTCGGAGGGGTGGGAGAAGCAGCAGCAGCACCGGCCGCTGCTGCTGCAGCAGCTGCTACGGCTGCCGAGGCTGAAGATTTGGAGGCTTTGGAAGAAGAGGATGATGATGATGAGGAGGAGGAGGAGGGCGGTGGTGGGGGCGATTTCCGAGAGGAAGGGGAGGGAAGAGTGTTGGAATCTGCAGAAGGTTCTTCGGGGATTGAAGGAGAGGCAGGGGCTGCCTTGTTGAAAGCTGTTCTCCATGCGTCCACTGTCTCCTTGGTGCCTGATGGGACAGCAGGGCACAAGATGGCAGAGAGAGAGAGGGCGCATATGCACAGAGATTGAGGTAACAGCAGAGGCGGCCTTGTTGAAAGCTGTTCTCCACGCGTCCACTGTCTCCTTGGTGCCTGGTGACACAAGATGGAAGCATGGAGGGGAATGGACAGGGCACAGAGAGGGGTGGAAATGGCACAGAGAGGGGTGGAAATGGCACAGAGAGGGGCGGAAATGGCACAGAGAGGGATGAAAACGCACAGCTAGGTGCTTGAACACATGTGCTTGAATTTTTCGCGCTTGCAATACTCAGAGAACGAGGGGAAGGGGGAGAGAGAAAGAGGGAAAGAGGGAGAGAGACGGAATGAAAGAGGGATAGAGGAGGGGAAAAGGGAGAGACACTCACCTTGCCCTTCATCCTCAGCAGACGCCCGCGCCTCGTGCAAACTAAGCGCTCGCTTCAGTTGCAGCATGGCATCGCGCATGCGCTTGAACTTGTCACGCTTGCCGGCGCTCTCCGCATCCTCCTGCAGCATGGAATGCAGCTTGTCGTCTGACATGCTGCTCACTGTCTGGTACAGCTTGGTGAGCATGGAGTCCCGTGCTCGCTCCACCTGAGATAACACGATGGCCTGACTTGTGGTAAGTGTGGGGAGGGGGGGGGGGAGAAGGAGGGAGAGGAAGGAGAGGGAGTGAGGGCACACATATGCAGCTTCACCGTCTGGTACAGCTTCGTCAGGATTGAACTTCCCGCTTGCTCCACCTGAGCCGGCACTATGGCCCGATGACAGCAGAGGTGGTGGTGGCTCTGGTGGTTGGATGTGTGGGAAACAAACGAGAGAGAGTAAGGGCGTGTCTTGCCAGATGCACAAGCACTGCCTGCACGTATCGGCTAGCGTGATGCACGCACTGTTGCGTCTTTGGGATTCTGTCGGCCAGAGACACACATGCATAGGCACACAGGCAGACACACATGCACACAAATCTTGGGGGATGTTGTCAGCCAGGTGCACAGGCACAGCCTGTGTGCACTACTGCTGCACTTCAGTCACCTGGTACAACAACCACTACCCTCTTGAATGCCCCATTGCCCTGTGTCACAATCACAGCGCCTCACTTGGGGGATGTTGTCAGCCAGGTGCATGAGCACAGCCTGCCTGCAAGTATCGAGCGTTGAGACAACCTGTGCCACGCACACAGGGGCTTACCCACAGGCACACATTTAGTGTGGGGATGCACAAGCACTGCCTGCACATAATGCCGCACCTCAGCCACCTCATACCACAGACAATACCCCCTTCAATGCCCCACTGCCCTGCGTCACACACAGAGCTACACACAAACCTTGGGAATGTTGTCTGCCAGGTGAACAAGCACCGCTTGCACATATCGCCGCACCTCTGTCACCTGGTACCTCAGCTCCTCCTCCGGATTCACCACCCGCCCCGCCCCCGCCACCCCTCCCCCTCCCTGCCCCAGCGCCCCCGGCACAATATTGCCCCCACTCCCACCACCAGCACCAGCAGAATCCCCATCCCTGCCGGCCCCTTCGTCTCCTGATTGGTCGGTGTCTCCCCCGGTGGAGGAGGAAGGGGGGGGTGGAGGCGGGGCCTCCTTGAAGGCCTTGGTGTGGCTGCGCAGGCGCGCCACCCACTGCTGCTTCTCCGCCATGTTGTCTGCTCGGAGGATGAGCGACTGGTGGACTGGTGGGGGAAGGGAGCAGGGGAGAGGGAAGGGAGATGCGGGGGCGGGGCCTCATTGAAGGCCTTGGTGTGGCTGCATAGGCGAGTCACCCACTGTTGCTTCTCCGCCATGTTGTCTGCCCGCAGGATGAGCGACTGGTGGACTGGAGGCGGGGGGAGGGAGAAGAGGAGGGAGGGAGAAGGGGAGCACGCAGGTGGAGTTGAGGAGAGAGGAAGAGTGAGCAAGCTGTGGCACCCACTGCTGCTTCTCCGCCATGTTGTCTGCCCGCAGGATGAGCGACTGGTGGACTGAAGGGGGGGGGTGTGGACTGGTGGAACCAGGGGACGGGAGGGTGATGGGGGAGGGGGGCAACGTTGAGAAGTATGAGGATGGAAAGTCGGGAGGGAGTGAGAGGAGGCAGGATATAAGGGGTCTTGAGTTGACCATCTTGGTGTGCCGCTGCCCATGCTCGCAAACATGGAGTAAACACGGCTGTTAGAACATGCCTTTGACCAAAGGCTTGTCACATGTGACAAGTGGGAACATTCATTTGAGTTTGACCTACCATTGACCTACCACGGTCTTGTACGGCACTCTGTTGCCGATCTTGAAGGAGAGTGCCTGTGCTGAGGGGTTGGACCCTGCCTTGATTGACCTACCATTGACCAGCGGTTACCCACCTTTGACCAGCGTTGACCCACCTTTGACCACGGTCTTGTACGGCACTCTGTTGCCGATCTTGAAGGAGAGTGCCTGAGCCGAAGGGTTGGACCCCGCTTTGATGTCTGACGCTGATGGCACCTCCTCTGGAGGCACTATCTCGTCTACTATGCAGTCCTGTAACGAGTGTTGCAAAAACGGGGACAAAATACGGATAGAGGGAAATTCTTCTGGAATTTACTCCTCTCTACCTCCTCAGGAAGCATTCTAGTTTGTCCACTATGCGGCAATCCTATAGCCAATACTGCAAGAATGGGGACAGAAAAGACGGGAAGCAGGAAAGAGTACTCTTGAAAAATGCACTCGTTCCTGCCATATATATCCCACCTACTGAGAGAATCCTGGCGGACATAGTTGAACACCCCCCACCCAAGAAGGAGGAGAAAAGCAGAAGAAAATCAACGATTGCCGCCGCCTTACCACTACCCAGACGACAACCACTACCCAGACGACACACCACAGCCCAACTCAACGCGGCACCGCTAGTGCCTTACCTTACCTTCCTCCACACCACAGCCCAACTCAACGCGGCACCGCTAGTGTAGTGCCTTACCTCGAGAGGAATGACTCCCCTAGGCGTCTTCTCATCAGGCTTCTTCACATAGTAGAGCTGCGAGGTGGGGCACGGCGAAAAAGGAGGGAGAACAACAATAATAATAATAAAAAAACAGAGCGGTGGGTGGAGGCGCAAGGAAGGTAAACAGGGTGAAGCGTTTTCATTGAGATTGTTCACATAAAAAACCAGGGACGTGAGGCAAGTGATTGGGTTGTGTGGCATACCCGAGCAGTCTTGTCGCTGAGTGCGAACCAGCGCTTGCTCCACCCTCCCTTGGAGCTCACTTTCCATAAGAACCCTGCCAGCGGGAACGACAGCAACGACAGCAACGATAGCAAGAACAGAAGGGCCATAATTATGTTAGAACAATAAAAAGGGCCATAATTCTGGCATAAAAGGGACACAAGTACTTTCCACAAGAACCCTGAGAGGGCGAACAGAAAAAATGAGGCATATGGTCATTCCTTTGACATTTCTTTATGTGTGATACAGAAGAGAACACAACAACACATCCCAACCTGTCCTAACCCATCTCAACCCAACCAAGCACACAACAGCACCTGCACACTCATTCACAGGAGCCAGGAGCTGCGAGCCATCGGCAGAGAGCAGAGGAGGGAAGCTCTTTCTTCCAGCATCCCATCCCATCCCATCCCATCCCATCCCATCCCATCCCATCCCATCCCATCCCATCCCATCCCATCCCATCCCATCCCATCCCATCCTATCCCATCCCATCCCATTCCATCCCATCCCATCCCATCCCATCCCATCCCAACCCATCCCAGCCCATCCCAACCCATCACAAAACAGCACAGCACCTGCAAGCTCCTTCATAGGAGCCAGGGGCTACGAGGAAAAGAGGGGGGCGGTTTCTTCTTGCAACATTTCCCACACCAACCCATCCCAACCCATCACAAAACAGCACAGCACCTGCAAGCTCCTTCATGGGAGCCAGGGGCTACAAGGAAAAGGGGGGGCCGGTTCCTTCTTGCAACATTTCCCACACCAACCCATCCCAACCCATCACAAAACAGCACAGCACCTGCAAGCTCCTTCATAGGAGCCAGGGGCTACGAGGAAAAGAGGGGGGCGGTTTCTTCTTGCAACATTTCCCACACCAACCCATCCCAACCCATCACAAAACAGCACAGCACCTGCAAGCTCCTTCATGGGAGCCAGGGGCTACGAGGAAAAGGGGGGGCCGGTTCCTTCTTGCAACATTTCCCACACCAACCCATCCCAACCCATCACAAAACAGCACAACAACTGCAAGCTCCTTCACAGGAGCCAGGGGCTACGAGGAAAAGAGGGGGGCGGTTCTTTCTTGCAACATTTCCCACACCAACCCATCCCAACCCATCACAAAACAGCACAACAACTGCAAGCTCCTTCACGGGAGCCAGGGGCTACGAGGAAAAGAGGGGGGCGGTTCCTTCTTGCAACATTTCCCACACCAACCCATCCCAACCCATCACAAAACAGCACAGCACCTGCAAGCTCCTTCATGGGAGCCAGGGGCTACGAGGAAAAGGGGGGGCCGGTTCCTTCTTGCAACATTTCCCACACCAACCCGTCCCAACCCATCACAAAACAGTACAACAACTGCAAGCTCCTTCACGGGAGCCAGGGGCTACGAGGAAAAGGGGGGGCGGTTCTTTCTTGCAACATTTCCCACACCAACCCATCCCAACCCATCACAAAACAGCACAGCACCTGCAAGCTCCTTCATGGGAGCCAGGGGCTGAGAGGCATCGGTGGGGGGCGGAGGTGGGGGAGGCTCCTTCTTGCGGCTGAAGGACGACATGGCAGAGGCGAAGCGACCTCCCCCACTGTCTCCTGTCGACTGGTGGAAGGTTGTTAAGGGGGGAGGGGGGGTGGCGTGGAAGAACGAAGAATAAGTGAGGCTGATCAGTGGAGAGTGTGGGAGAGGAAGAGAGAGGCCTTACTTACGGAGCGAACGACAGAGAGAGCAAGAGCACCTACTGAAGGAAATAAAGGAAGAGACAACTAGCAGGGTGAGAGAGAGGCAACGACTCACAGAGCGGGAGAGAGGCAACGACTCACAGAGCAGGAGAGAGGCAACGACTCACAGAGCGGGAGAGAGGCAACAACTCACAGAGCGGGAGAGGCAACAACTCACAGAGCGGGAGAGAGGCAACAACTCACAGAGCGGGAGAGAGGCAACAACTCACAGAGCGGGAGAGAGGCAACAACTCACAGAGCGGGAGAGAGGCAACAACTCACAGAGCGGGAGAGAGGCAACAACTCACAGAGCGGGAGAGCACGCCTCGGTCCTGGAGGCCCTTGCGTGCCACTTCCAACTCCTTCCATAGCTTCTCCTGCCTGCCGGGGAAAACAGGGAAAAAGAATAGACGAGGTGGGGGGGGAGGGAGGGGAGGGGGCTTGAGGCACCTTAGAAGCCGGCCCTTGCGAGCCACTTCCAACTCCTTCCATAACTTCTCCTGCCTGCCTGCTAGGCAGAAGACGAACAAGAGAGGGCGGTCCAAGTTTGGATTGAGGGCGAGGCACAAGTCTAGTGCAAACAAACTTAGTGCAAGGGAGGTACAAGTTAGGTGTGAGGGGGCACGAATCTAGTGCGTCAGCACACGTCAAGTGCATCAAATTCGGTATGAACCTACGGATGCACAAGTCAAGGGTGAGGGGGGCGGCTCGAATCAGGGGCGTGCGAGGGCGGCATGAACCACATGGTGGGGCGGCAGGCAGCTCACAGCTTATACTCTGCCTCAATGAAGTGAGACGGCGGCACGATTCAATCCTCACAGCTTTCTCTCCAATTCTGTTCAGCCTTCACATGCTCACTATTGATAATCCCACATGCCCCTTCTTTCTTTCTTATCCCATCCTCGTCATAACCAGCGTCCTCGTCCAATCAGAGTGCGACATGCTGGACTATGCTTCTGACTACTTGCATCGGGTCCAAAGGACAAAATCACATGTCATGGCCAAATGGGTTCTGACTGTCCTCCCACCCACCAAACCGTCCGCCGGACCAGTTCTCAAACCATCTACCGAGCGTGCTACCGAACCATCCACCGAATCAGTTACCAACCAACCCACCGAAGTAACTCCTACTGAAGAGTCCCAAGCCAGCAACAGTTCCTCTCATGATGCAACGTACGGTCCAGATTCGCCGTGCGACCATGCCATCCACGGCCGCTGGCTGTTCAACGCACAGAAGCTGGCCTACGAGTGGCAACTCTACCCCTGCGCGCACCCCCTCCCCCCCGTCTCTCAGTGGCTCTCCGCCCTCCAATCCCGGGGTATTTCCGAGATTAACTTTGTCGGGGATTCTCACGTGCGCTTCCTATACCACCACCTCTATTTTCTACTCACTGGCAAGGCTAATGCTTCCACTGTACACTACTATGCCGACCTCCAATTGGTCGTGCCGCCCCCTAGCCCAAATTTGCAGCCTCTGAAGCTCAATTTCTACTGGATCGGAGGGATTTACATCGACGGGCCTTTTGGATGCAGGTGCAGTGTGCGAGCAACGCTTGTCTCTTTTATTCTAATCTGTTCCATGGTTTTCATCCCTTGATTTTGTGGCGTTCATCTCTCGATTGAGTAGCAATGCAACCGCTGCCTCAGCACCTGCATCCCCCACGTGGCTTGATCCCTCCCGGAGGATTCAAGGCTCTAAACACACGCCATGTGCCTTCCTGTCCTTTCTGCCACTCCTCCCTTCACTGTAATCACCATGCAGCTATAAGAACGTCACGGCATTTGAACTGCTCACGTTTCCAAACATTTCCTCGACAGCCAATGTGACGCTTGTAGACGGTGGATTCTGGATGACGATTTTCTGTGCCGAGCCGGAGAACGCGTTGGGGCATTATCTTCCCAACTACCTGCAGTGGGTTTACTCTCAGAGGGAACTGGCAATGCAGGCGCAGCAACAGCAGCAGCAGCAGCAGCAGCAGCAGCAGCAGCAGCAGCAGCAGCAGCAGCAGCAGCAGCAGCAGCAGCAGCAGCAGCAGCAGCAGCAGCAGCAGCAGCAGCAGCAGCAGCAGCAGCAGCAGCAGCAGCAGCAGCAGCAGCAGCAAAAGAAAAAGCAGCAGGAAAATCAAGCTTCAGTGCTGCCTTCTAGGCCGGGCCCGTGGTTTCTGTTTCGAAGCATCCCTCCAAGACGGCTCAACGACTTTTGCTACGACGGAACAAATACGCTCATTTCACACATGAACAAAGTTGTTGCTGGGCACTTGGGACGGTACGGCCTGCAGCTTCTCAATGATTGGCTGATCGCAGCCCCTCGCCCCGACGATACGTGCGGGCCAAAGGATCCACACCACACCTGCTTTGTTGAGGCTGCAAACGGCAAGAATAATAATAACACGGGAACGGATGGAAGGTATGAGGGGGCCGTGGGTGAAGCGATGGTGTGGAATTTGGTGTACCATCTCCTGTATAATTTGACGTGAATATGCCTGAGCGAGTGCACCGTACTTGGGCTCAAAATGCACCACGTATATGGTTTTCCCAAGGTCTTACTTTAGGACCCAATTGCAGGCAAGCCTCACATCTGTTCAGGTGTTTCACATTATATTGCTCCTTTACTGGTAGGATGCACATATGTACTTGGAACTTCTGCAAACGGTATTAGACGTCGTTAAAACCAGACCCCTACACCCTACACCAGCAATAGCCTGACAACCTGGCAACATGAAGAGGATTGATACTGTTACTCTTCCTCCACGAGGAAATCAATCCATGCGATGTGACAACTGTGAAACAAGGGCATGTCAAGTCCTCAGACTTGTAAGTCACACAAATCACCTCGTAAGTACCAATACTTGCGCTGAAACCAGTGGATGGGGCAGGAGGGGTTCTCCTAGACGTGGCACGCAAGGGGTTCCCCATCCCCCCTCCTGCATCCGTCCCCCCTGCCAGGGTCTGCATCAGAGGACTCGCACCCGTCGCTCGCAAGTTACTTGAAGCTGAAACCAGTGGGTGGGGCAGGAGGGGTTCTCCTAGACGTGGCATGCAAGGGGTTCCCCGTCCCCCCTCCTGCATCCATCCCCCCTGCCAGGGTCTGCATCAGAGGACTCACACCCGTCGCTCGCAAGTTACTTGAAGCTGAAACCAGTGGGCGGGGCAGGAGGGGTTCTCCTAGACGTGGCACGCAAGGGGTTCCCCATCCCCCCTCCTGCATCCATCCCCCCTGCCAGGGTCTGCCGCAGCGGACTCGCACTCCTGGCAGTACTTGCAGACGGGACCATGGGCGGTCCCCGAGCCATCACCGGACCTGGGACCATAGCTCCGGGAACTCCCGCACCTAGCGGGTTGGGCACGGAGCCCATGGTCATGCCTCGGGTGATAGCTGGCGGCTGTTGATTGGCGGAGGAGGAGCGGGAAGGCTGGAATGACGATGCATGTGTGATACCATAAGAGGAAGCCCCCGCTCCTGCAGCTGCTGCTGCTCCTGCTGCTGCTGCTGCTGCTGCAGATGAGGTCGGAGGGGTGGGAGAAGCAGCAGCAGCACCGGCCGCTGCTGCTGCAGCAGCTGCTACGGCTGCCGAGGCTGAAGATTTGGAGGCTTTGGAAGAAGAGGATGATGATGATGAGGAGGAGGAGGAGGGCGGTGGTGGGGGCGATTTCCGAGAGGAAGGGGAGGGAAGAGTGTTGGAATCTGCAGAAGGTTCTTCGGGGATTGAAGGAGAGGCAGGGGCTGCCTTGTTGAAAGCTGTTCTCCATGCGTCCACTGTCTCCTTGGTGCCTGATGGGACAGCAGGGCACAAGATGGCAGAGAGAGAGAGGGCGCATATGCACAGAGATTGAGGTAACAGCAGAGGCGGCCTTGTTGAAAGCTGTTCTCCACGCGTCTACTGTCTCCTTGGTGCCTGGTGACACAAGATGGAAGCATGGAGGGGAATGGACAGGGCACAGAGAGGGGTGGAAATGGCACAGAGAGGGGTGGAAATGGCACAGAGAGGGGCGGAAATGGCACAGAGAGGGATGAAAACGCACAGCTAGGTGCTTGAACACATGTGCTTGAATTTTTCGCGCTTGCAATACTCAGAGAACGAGGGGAAGGGGGAGAGAGAAAGAGGGAAAGAGGGAGAGAGACGGAATGAAAGAGGGATAGAGGAGGGGAAAAGGGAGAGACACTCACCTTGCCCTTCATCCTCAGCAGACGCCCGCGCCTCGTGCAAACTAAGCGCTCGCTTCAGTTGCAGCATGGCATCGCGCATGCGCTTGAACTTGTCACGCTTGCCGGCGCTCTCCGCATCCTCCTGCAGCATGGAATGCAGCTTGTCGTCTGACATGCTGCTCACTGTCTGGTACAGCTTGGTGAGCATGGAGTCCCGTGCTCGCTCCACCTGAGATAACACGATGGCCTGACTTGTGGTAAGTGTGGGGAGGGGGGGGGGGAGAAGGAGGGAGAGGAAGGAGAGGGAGTGAGGGCACACATATGCAGCTTCACCGTCTGGTACAGCTTCGTCAGGATTGAACTTCCCGCTTGCTCCACCTGAGCCGGCACTATGGCCCGATGACAGCAGAGGTGGTGGTGGCTCTGGTGGTTGGATGTGTGGGAAACAAACGAGAGAGAGTAAGGGCGTGTCTTGCCAGATGCACAAGCACTGCCTGCACGTATCGGCTAGCGTGATGCACGCACTGTTGCGTCTTTGGGATTCTGTCGGCCAGAGACACACATGCATAGGCACACAGGCAGACACACATGCACACAAATCTTGGGGGATGTTGTCAGCCAGGTGCACAGGCACAGCCTGTGTGCACTACTGCTGCACTTCAGTCACCTGGTACAACAACCACTACCCTCTTGAATGCCCCATTGCCCTGTGTCACAATCACAGCGCCTCACTTGGGGGATGTTGTCAGCCAGGTGCATGAGCACAGCCTGCCTGCAAGTATCGAGCGTTGAGACAACCTGTGCCACGCACACAGGGGCTTACCCACAGGCACACATTTAGTGTGGGGATGCACAAGCACTGCCTGCACATAATGCCGCACCTCAGCCACCTCATACCACAGACAATACCCCCTTCAATGCCCCACTGCCCTGCGTCACACACAGAGCTACACACAAACCTTGGGAATGTTGTCTGCCAGGTGAACAAGCACCGCTTGCACATATCGCCGCACCTCTGTCACCTGGTACCTCAGCTCCTCCTCCGGATTCACCACCCGCCCCGCCCCCGCCACCCCTCCCCCTCCCTGCCCCAGCGCCCCCGGCACAATATTGCCCCCACTCCCACCACCAGCACCAGCAGAATCCCCATCCCTGCCGGCCCCTTCGTCTCCTGATTGGTCGGTGTCTCCCCCGGTGGAGGAGGAAGGGGGGGGTGGAGGCGGGGCCTCCTTGAAGGCCTTGGTGTGGCTGCGCAGGCGCGCCACCCACTGCTGCTTCTCCGCCATGTTGTCTGCTCGGAGGATGAGCGACTGGTGGACTGGTGGGGGAAGGGAGCAGGGGAGAGGGAAGGGAGATGCGGGGGCGGGGCCTCATTGAAGGCCTTGGTGTGGCTGCATAGGCGAGTCACCCACTGTTGCTTCTCCGCCATGTTGTCTGCCCGCAGGATGAGCGACTGGTGGACTGGAGGCGGGGGGAGGGAGAAGAGGAGGGAGGGAGAAGGGGAGCACGCAGGTGGAGTTGAGGAGAGAGGAAGAGTGAGCAAGCTGTGGCACCCACTGCTGCTTCTCCGCCATGTTGTCTGCCCGCAGGATGAGCGACTGGTGGACTGAAGGGGGGGGGTGTGGACTGGTGGAACCAGGGGACGGGAGGGTGATGGGGGAGGGGGGCAACGTTGAGAAGTATGAGGATGGAAAGTCGGGAGGGAGTGAGAGGAGGCAGGATATAAGGGGTCTTGAGTTGACCATCTTGGTGTGCCGCTGCCCATGCTCGCAAACATGGAGTAAACACGGCTGTTAGAACATGCCTTTGACCAAAGGCTTGTCACATGTGACAAGTGGGAACATTCATTTGAGTTTGACCTACCATTGACCTACCACGGTCTTGTACGGCACTCTGTTGCCGATCTTGAAGGAGAGTGCCTGTGCTGAGGGGTTGGACCCTGCCTTGATTGACCTACCATTGACCAGCGGTTACCCACCTTTGACCAGCGTTGACCCACCTTTGACCACGGTCTTGTACGGCACTCTGTTGCCGATCTTGAAGGAGAGTGCCTGAGCCGAAGGGTTGGACCCCGCTTTGATGTCTGACGCTGATGGCACCTCCTCTGGAGGCACTATCTCGTCTACTATGCAGTCCTGTAACGAGTGTTGCAAAAACGGGGACAAAATACGGATAGAGGGAAATTCTTCTGGAATTTACTCCTCTCTACCTCCTCAGGAAGCATTCTAGTTTGTCCACTATGCGGCAATCCTATAGCCAATACTGCAAGAATGGGGACAGAAAAGACGGGAAGCAGGAAAGAGTACTCTTGAAAAATGCACTCGTTCCTGCCATATATATCCCACCTACTGAGAGAATCCTGGCGGACATAGTTGAACACCCCCCACCCAAGAAGGAGGAGAAAAGCAGAAGAAAATCAACGATTGCCGCCGCCTTACCACTACCCAGACGACAACCACTACCCAGACGACACACCACAGCCCAACTCAACGCGGCACCGCTAGTGCCTTACCTTACCTTCCTCCACACCACAGCCCAACTCAACGCGGCACCGCTAGTGTAGTGCCTTACCTCGAGAGGAATGACTCCCCTAGGCGTCTTCTCATCAGGCTTCTTCACATAGTAGAGCTGCGAGGTGGGGCACGGCGAAAAAGGAGGGAGAACAACAATAATAATAATAAAAAAACAGAGCGGTGGGTGGAGGCGCAAGGAAGGTAAACAGGGTGAAGCGTTTTCATTGAGATTGTTCACATAAAAAACCAGGGACGTGAGGCAAGTGATTGGGTTGTGTGGCATACCCGAGCAGTCTTGTCGCTGAGTGCGAACCAGCGCTTGCTCCACCCTCCCTTGGAGCTCACTTTCCATAAGAACCCTGCCAGCGGGAACGACAGCAACGACAGCAACGATAGCAAGAACAGAAGGGCCATAATTATGTTAGAACAATAAAAAGGGCCATAATTCTGGCATAAAAGGGACACAAGTACTTTCCACAAGAACCCTGAGAGGGCGAACAGAAAAAATGAGGCATATGGTCATTCCTTTGACATTTCTTTATGTGTGATACAGAAGAGAACACAACAACACATCCCAACCTGTCCTAACCCATCTCAACCCAACCAAGCACACAACAGCACCTGCACACTCATTCACAGGAGCCAGGAGCTGCGAGCCATCGGCAGAGAGCAGAGGAGGGAAGCTCTTTCTTCCAGCATCCCATCCCATCCCATCCCATCCCATCCCATCCCATCCCATCCCATCCCATCCCATCCCATCCCATCCCATCCCATCCCATCCTATCCCATCCCATCCCATTCCATCCCATCCCATCCCATCCCATCCCATCCCAACCCATCCCAGCCCATCCCAACCCATCACAAAACAGCACAGCACCTGCAAGCTCCTTCATAGGAGCCAGGGGCTACGAGGAAAAGAGGGGGGCGGTTTCTTCTTGCAACATTTCCCACACCAACCCATCCCAACCCATCACAAAACAGCACAGCACCTGCAAGCTCCTTCATGGGAGCCAGGGGCTACAAGGAAAAGGGGGGGCCGGTTCCTTCTTGCAACATTTCCCACACCAACCCATCCCAACCCATCACAAAACAGCACAGCACCTGCAAGCTCCTTCATAGGAGCCAGGGGCTACGAGGAAAAGAGGGGGGCGGTTTCTTCTTGCAACATTTCCCACACCAACCCATCCCAACCCATCACAAAACAGCACAGCACCTGCAAGCTCCTTCATGGGAGCCAGGGGCTACGAGGAAAAGGGGGGGCCGGTTCCTTCTTGCAACATTTCCCACACCAACCCATCCCAACCCATCACAAAACAGCACAACAACTGCAAGCTCCTTCACAGGAGCCAGGGGCTACGAGGAAAAGAGGGGGGCGGTTCTTTCTTGCAACATTTCCCACACCAACCCATCCCAACCCATCACAAAACAGCACAACAACTGCAAGCTCCTTCACGGGAGCCAGGGGCTACGAGGAAAAGAGGGGGGCGGTTCCTTCTTGCAACATTTCCCACACCAACCCATCCCAACCCATCACAAAACAGCACAGCACCTGCAAGCTCCTTCATGGGAGCCAGGGGCTACGAGGAAAAGGGGGGGCCGGTTCCTTCTTGCAACATTTCCCACACCAACCCGTCCCAACCCATCACAAAACAGTACAACAACTGCAAGCTCCTTCACGGGAGCCAGGGGCTACGAGGAAAAGGGGGGGCGGTTCTTTCTTGCAACATTTCCCACACCAACCCATCCCAACCCATCACAAAACAGCACAGCACCTGCAAGCTCCTTCATGGGAGCCAGGGGCTGAGAGGCATCGGTGGGGGGCGGAGGTGGGGGAGGCTCCTTCTTGCGGCTGAAGGACGACATGGCAGAGGCGAAGCGACCTCCCCCACTGTCTCCTGTCGACTGGTGGAAGGTTGTTAAGGGGGGAGGGGGGGTGGCGTGGAAGAACGAAGAATAAGTGAGGCTGATCAGTGGAGAGTGTGGGAGAGGAAGAGAGAGGCCTTACTTACGGAGCGAACGACAGAGAGAGCAAGAGCACCTACTGAAGGAAATAAAGGAAGAGACAACTAGCAGGGTGAGAGAGAGGCAACGACTCACAGAGCGGGAGAGAGGCAACGACTCACAGAGCAGGAGAGAGGCAACGACTCACAGAGCGGGAGAGAGGCAACAACTCACAGAGCGGGAGAGGCAACAACTCACAGAGCGGGAGAGAGGCAACAACTCACAGAGCGGGAGAGAGGCAACAACTCACAGAGCGGGAGAGAGGCAACAACTCACAGAGCGGGAGAGAGGCAACAACTCACAGAGCGGGAGAGAGGCAACAACTCACAGAGCGGGAGAGAGGCAACAACTCACAGAGCGGGAGAGAGGCAACAACTCACAGAGCGGGAGAGCACGCCTCGGTCCTGGAGGCCCTTGCGTGCCACTTCCAACTCCTTCCATAGCTTCTCCTGCCTGCCGGGGAAAACAGGGAAAAAGAATAGACGAGGTGGGGGGGGAGGGAGGGGAGGGGGCTTGAGGCACCTTAGAAGCCGGCCCTTGCGAGCCACTTCCAACTCCTTCCATAACTTCTCCTGCCTGCCTGCTAGGCAGAAGACGAACAAGAGAGGGCGGTCCAAGTTTGGATTGAGGGCGAGGCACAAGTCTAGTGCAAACAAACTTAGTGCAAGGGAGGTACAAGTTAGGTGTGAGGGGGCACGAATCTAGTGCGTCAGCACACGTCAAGTGCATCAAATTCGGTATGAACCTACGGATGCACAAGTCAAGGGTGAGGGGGGCGGCTCGAATCAGGGGCGTGCGAGGGCGGCATGAACCACATGGTGGGGCGGCAGGCAGCTCACAGCTTATACTCTGCCTCAATGAAGTGAGACGGCGGCACGATTCAATCCTCACAGCTTTCTCTCCAATTCTGTTCAGCCTTCACATGCTCACTATTGATAATCCCACATGCCCCTTCTTTCTTTCTTATCCCATCCTCGTCATAACCAGCGTCCTCGTCCAATCAGAGTGCGACATGCTGGACTATGCTTCTGACTACTTGCATCGGGTCCAAAGGACAAAATCACATGTCATGGCCAAATGGGTTCTGACTGTCCTCCCACCCACCAAACCGTCCGCCGGACCAGTTCTCAAACCATCTACCGAGCGTGCTACCGAACCATCCACCGAATCAGTTACCAACCAACCCACCGAAGTAACTCCTACTGAAGAGTCCCAAGCCAGCAACAGTTCCTCTCATGATGCAACGTACGGTCCAGATTCGCCGTGCGACCATGCCATCCACGGCCGCTGGCTGTTCAACGCACAGAAGCTGGCCTACGAGTGGCAACTCTACCCCTGCGCGCACCCCCTCCCCCCCGTCTCTCAGTGGCTCTCCGCCCTCCAATCCCGGGGTATTTCCGAGATTAACTTTGTCGGGGATTCTCACGTGCGCTTCCTATACCACCACCTCTATTTTCTACTCACTGGCAAGGCTAATGCTTCCACTGTACACTACTATGCCGACCTCCAATTGGTCGTGCCGCCCCCTAGCCCAAATTTGCAGCCTCTGAAGCTCAATTTCTACTGGATCGGAGGGATTTACATCGACGGGCCTTTTGGATGCAGGTGCAGTGTGCGAGCAACGCTTGTCTCTTTTATTCTAATCTGTTCCATGGTTTTCATCCCTTGATTTTGTGGCGTTCATCTCTCGATTGAGTAGCAATGCAACCGCTGCCTCAGCACCTGCATCCCCCACGTGGCTTGATCCCTCCCGGAGGATTCAAGGCTCTAAACACACGCCATGTGCCTTCCTGTCCTTTCTGCCACTCCTCCCTTCACTGTAATCACCATGCAGCTATAAGAACGTCACGGCATTTGAACTGCTCACGTTTCCAAACATTTCCTCGACAGCCAATGTGACGCTTGTAGACGGTGGATTCTGGATGACGATTTTCTGTGCCGAGCCGGAGAACGCGTTGGGGCATTATCTTCCCAACTACCTGCAGTGGGTTTACTCTCAGAGGGAACTGGCAATGCAGGCGCAGCAACAGCAGCAGCAGCAGCAGCAGCAGCAGCAGCAGCAGCAGCAGCAGCAGCAGCAGCAGCAGCAGCAGCAGCAGCAGCAGCAGCAGCAGCAGCAGCAGCAGCAGCAGCAGCAGCAGCAGCAGCAGCAGCAGCAGCAGCAGCAAAAGAAAAAGCAGCAGGAAAATCAAGCTTCAGTGCTGCCTTCTAGGCCGGGCCCGTGGTTTCTGTTTCGAAGCATCCCTCCAAGACGGCTCAACGACTTTTGCTACGACGGAACAAATACGCTCATTTCACACATGAACAAAGTTGTTGCTGGGCACTTGGGACGGTACGGCCTGCAGCTTCTCAATGATTGGCTGATCGCAGCCCCTCGCCCCGACGATACGTGCGGGCCAAAGGATCCACACCACACCTGCTTTGTTGAGGCTGCAAACGGCAAGAATAATAATAACACGGGAACGGATGGAAGGTATGAGGGGGCCGTGGGTGAAGCGATGGTGTGGAATTTGGTGTACCATCTCCTGTATAATTTGACGTGAATATGCCTGAGCGAGTGCACCGTACTTGGGCTCAAAATGCACCACGTATATGGTTTTCCCAAGGTCTTACTTTAGGACCCAATTGCAGGCAAGCCTCACATCTGTTCAGGTGTTTCACATTATATTGCTCCTTTACTGGTAGGATGCACATATGTACTTGGAACTTCTGCAAACGGTATTAGACGTCGTTAAAACCAGACCCCTACACCCTACACCAGCAATAGCCTGACAACCTGGCAACATGAAGAGGATTGATACTGTTACTCTTCCTCCACGAGGAAATCAATCCATGCGATGTGACAACTGTGAAACAAGGGCATGTCAAGTCCTCAGACTTGTAAGTCACACAAATCACCTCGTAAGTACCAATACTTGCGCTGAAACCAGTGGATGGGGCAGGAGGGGTTCTCCTAGACGTGGCACGCAAGGGGTTCCCCATCCCCCCTCCTGCATCCGTCCCCCCTGCCAGGGTCTGCATCAGAGGACTCGCACCCGTCGCTCGCAAGTTACTTGAAGCTGAAACCAGTGGGTGGGGCAGGAGGGGTTCTCCTAGACGTGGCATGCAAGGGGTTCCCCGTCCCCCCTCCTGCATCCATCCCCCCTGCCAGGGTCTGCATCAGAGGACTCACACCCGTCGCTCGCAAGTTACTTGAAGCTGAAACCAGTGGGCGGGGCAGGAGGGGTTCTCCTAGACGTGGCACGCAAGGGGTTCCCCATCCCCCCTCCTGCATCCATCCCCCCTGCCAGGGTCTGCCGCAGCGGACTCGCACTCCTGGCAGTACTTGCAGACGGGACCATGGGCGGTCCCCGAGCCATCACCGGACCTGGGACCATAGCTCCGGGAACTCCCGCACCTAGCGGGTTGGGCACGGAGCCCATGGTCATGCCTCGGGTGATAGCTGGCGGCTGTTGATTGGCGGAGGAGGAGCGGGAAGGCTGGAATGACGATGCATGTGTGATACCATAAGAGGAAGCCCCCGCTCCTGCAGCTGCTGCTGCTCCTGCTGCTGCTGCTGCTGCTGCAGATGAGGTCGGAGGGGTGGGAGAAGCAGCAGCAGCACCGGCCGCTGCTGCTGCAGCAGCTGCTACGGCTGCCGAGGCTGAAGATTTGGAGGCTTTGGAAGAAGAGGATGATGATGATGAGGAGGAGGAGGAGGGCGGTGGTGGGGGCGATTTCCGAGAGGAAGGGGAGGGAAGAGTGTTGGAATCTGCAGAAGGTTCTTCGGGGATTGAAGGAGAGGCAGGGGCTGCCTTGTTGAAAGCTGTTCTCCATGCGTCCACTGTCTCCTTGGTGCCTGATGGGACAGCAGGGCACAAGATGGCAGAGAGAGAGAGGGCGCATATGCACAGAGATTGAGGTAACAGCAGAGGCGGCCTTGTTGAAAGCTGTTCTCCACGCGTCTACTGTCTCCTTGGTGCCTGGTGACACAAGATGGAAGCATGGAGGGGAATGGACAGGGCACAGAGAGGGGTGGAAATGGCACAGAGAGGGGTGGAAATGGCACAGAGAGGGGCGGAAATGGCACAGAGAGGGATGAAAACGCACAGCTAGGTGCTTGAACACATGTGCTTGAATTTTTCGCGCTTGCAATACTCAGAGAACGAGGGGAAGGGGGAGAGAGAAAGAGGGAAAGAGGGAGAGAGACGGAATGAAAGAGGGATAGAGGAGGGGAAAAGGGAGAGACACTCACCTTGCCCTTCATCCTCAGCAGACGCCCGCGCCTCGTGCAAACTAAGCGCTCGCTTCAGTTGCAGCATGGCATCGCGCATGCGCTTGAACTTGTCACGCTTGCCGGCGCTCTCCGCATCCTCCTGCAGCATGGAATGCAGCTTGTCGTCTGACATGCTGCTCACTGTCTGGTACAGCTTGGTGAGCATGGAGTCCCGTGCTCGCTCCACCTGAGATAACACGATGGCCTGACTTGTGGTAAGTGTGGGGAGGGGGGGGGGAGAAGGAGGGAGAGGAAGGAGAGGGAGTGAGGGCACACATATGCAGCTTCACCGTCTGGTACAGCTTCGTCAGGATTGAACTTCCCGCTTGCTCCACCTGAGCCGGCACTATGGCCCGATGACAGCAGAGGTGGTGGTGGCTCTGGTGGTTGGATGTGTGGGAAACAAACGAGAGAGAGTAAGGGCGTGTCTTGCCAGATGCACAAGCACTGCCTGCACGTATCGGCTAGCGTGATGCACGCACTGTTGCGTCTTTGGGATTCTGTCGGCCAGAGACACACATGCATAGGCACACAGGCAGACACACATGCACACAAATCTTGGGGGATGTTGTCAGCCAGGTGCACAGGCACAGCCTGTGTGCACTACTGCTGCACTTCAGTCACCTGGTACAACAACCACTACCCTCTTGAATGCCCCATTGCCCTGTGTCACAATCACAGCGCCTCACTTGGGGGATGTTGTCAGCCAGGTGCATGAGCACAGCCTGCCTGCAAGTATCGAGCGTTGAGACAACCTGTGCCACGCACACAGGGGCTTACCCACAGGCACACATTTAGTGTGGGGATGCACAAGCACTGCCTGCACATAATGCCGCACCTCAGCCACCTCATACCACAGACAATACCCCCTTCAATGCCCCACTGCCCTGCGTCACACACAGAGCTACACACAAACCTTGGGAATGTTGTCTGCCAGGTGAACAAGCACCGCTTGCACATATCGCCGCACCTCTGTCACCTGGTACCTCAGCTCCTCCTCCGGATTCACCACCCGCCCCGCCCCCGCCACCCCTCCCCCTCCCTGCCCCAGCGCCCCCGGCACAATATTGCCCCCACTCCCACCACCAGCACCAGCAGAATCCCCATCCCTGCCGGCCCCTTCGTCTCCTGATTGGTCGGTGTCTCCCCCGGTGGAGGAGGAAGGGGGGGGTGGAGGCGGGGCCTCCTTGAAGGCCTTGGTGTGGCTGCGCAGGCGCGCCACCCACTGCTGCTTCTCCGCCATGTTGTCTGCTCGGAGGATGAGCGACTGGTGGACTGGTGGGGGAAGGGAGCAGGGGAGAGGGAAGGGAGATGCGGGGGCGGGGCCTCATTGAAGGCCTTGGTGTGGCTGCATAGGCGAGTCACCCACTGTTGCTTCTCCGCCATGTTGTCTGCCCGCAGGATGAGCGACTGGTGGACTGGAGGCGGGGGGAGGGAGAAGAGGAGGGAGGGAGAAGGGGAGCACGCAGGTGGAGTTGAGGAGAGAGGAAGAGTGAGCAAGCTGTGGCACCCACTGCTGCTTCTCCGCCATGTTGTCTGCCCGCAGGATGAGCGACTGGTGGACTGAAGGGGGGGGGTGTGGACTGGTGGAACCAGGGGACGGGAGGGTGATGGGGGAGGGGGGCAACGTTGAGAAGTATGAGGATGGAAAGTCGGGAGGGAGTGAGAGGAGGCAGGATATAAGGGGTCTTGAGTTGACCATCTTGGTGTGCCGCTGCCCATGCTCGCAAACATGGAGTAAACACGGCTGTTAGAACATGCCTTTGACCAAAGGCTTGTCACATGTGACAAGTGGGAACATTCATTTGATTTTGACCTACCATTGACCTACCACGGTCTTGTACGGCACTCTGTTGCCGATCTTGAAGGAGAGTGCCTGTGCTGAGGGGTTGGACCCTGCCTTGATTGACCTACCATTGACCAGCGGTTACCCACCTTTGACCAGCGTTGACCCACCTTTGACCACGGTCTTGTACGGCACTCTGTTGCCGATCTTGAAGGAGAGTGCCTGAGCCGAAGGGTTGGACCCCGCTTTGATGTCTGACGCTGATGGCACCTCCTCTGGAGGCACTATCTCGTCTACTATGCAGTCCTGTAACGAGTGTTGCAAAAACGGGGACAAAATACGGATAGAGGGAAATTCTTCTGGAATTTACTCCTCTCTACCTCCTCAGGAAGCATTCTAGTTTGTCCACTATGCGGCAATCCTATAGCCAATACTGCAAGAATGGGGACAGAAAAGACGGGAAGCAGGAAAGAGTACTCTTGAAAAATGCACTCGTTCCTGCCATATATATCCCACCTACTGAGAGAATCCTGGCGGACATAGTTGAACACCCCCCACCCAAGAAGGAGGAGAAAAGCAGAAGAAAATCAACGATTGCCGCCGCCTTACCACTACCCAGACGACAACCACTACCCAGACGACACACCACAGCCCAACTCAACGCGGCACCGCTAGTGCCTTACCTTACCTTCCTCCACACCACAGCCCAACTCAACGCGGCACCGCTAGTGTAGTGCCTTACCTCGAGAGGAATGACTCCCCTAGGCGTCTTCTCATCAGGCTTCTTCACATAGTAGAGCTGCGAGGTGGGGCACGGCGAAAAAGGAGGGAGAACAACAATAATAATAATAAAAAAACAGAGCGGTGGGTGGAGGCGCAAGGAAGGTAAACAGGGTGAAGCGTTTTCATTGAGATTGTTCACATAAAAAACCAGGGACGTGAGGCAAGTGATTGGGTTGTGTGGCATACCCGAGCAGTCTTGTCGCTGAGTGCGAACCAGCGCTTGCTCCACCCTCCCTTGGAGCTCACTTTCCATAAGAACCCTGCCAGCGGGAACGACAGCAACGACAGCAACGATAGCAAGAACAGAAGGGCCATAATTATGTTAGAACAATAAAAAGGGCCATAATTCTGGCATAAAAGGGACACAAGTACTTTCCACAAGAACCCTGAGAGGGCGAACAGAAAAAATGAGGCATATGGTCATTCCTTTGACATTTCTTTATGTGTGATACAGAAGAGAACACAACAACACATCCCAACCTGTCCTAACCCATCTCAACCCAACCAAGCACACAACAGCACCTGCACACTCATTCACAGGAGCCAGGAGCTGCGAGCCATCGGCAGAGAGCAGAGGAGGGAAGCTCTTTCTTCCAGCATCCCATCCCATCCCATCCCATCCCATCCCATCCCATCCCATCCCATCCCATCCCATCCCATCCCATCCCATCCCATCCCATCCCATCCCATCCCATCCCATCCCATCCCATCCTATCCCATCCCATCCCATTCCATCCCATCCCATCCCATCCCATCCCATCCCAACCCATCCCAGCCCATCCCAACCCATCACAAAACAGCACAGCACCTGCAAGCTCCTTCATAGGAGCCAGGGGCTACGAGGAAAAGAGGGGGGCGGTTTCTTCTTGCAACATTTCCCACACCAACCCATCCCAACCCATCACAAAACAGCACAGCACCTGCAAGCTCCTTCATGGGAGCCAGGGGCTACAAGGAAAAGGGGGGGCCGGTTCCTTCTTGCAACATTTCCCACACCAACCCATCCCAACCCATCACAAAACAGCACAGCACCTGCAAGCTCCTTCATAGGAGCCAGGGGCTACGAGGAAAAGAGGGGGGCGGTTTCTTCTTGCAACATTTCCCACACCAACCCATCCCAACCCATCACAAAACAGCACAGCACCTGCAAGCTCCTTCATGGGAGCCAGGGGCTACGAGGAAAAGGGGGGGCCGGTTCCTTCTTGCAACATTTCCCACACCAACCCATCCCAACCCATCACAAAACAGCACAACAACTGCAAGCTCCTTCACAGGAGCCAGGGGCTACGAGGAAAAGAGGGGGGCGGTTCTTTCTTGCAACATTTCCCACACCAACCCATCCCAACCCATCACAAAACAGCACAACAACTGCAAGCTCCTTCACGGGAGCCAGGGGCTACGAGGAAAAGAGGGGGGCGGTTCCTTCTTGCAACATTTCCCACACCAACCCATCCCAACCCATCACAAAACAGCACAGCACCTGCAAGCTCCTTCATGGGAGCCAGGGGCTACGAGGAAAAGGGGGGGCCGGTTCCTTCTTGCAACATTTCCCACACCAACCCGTCCCAACCCATCACAAAACAGTACAACAACTGCAAGCTCCTTCACGGGAGCCAGGGGCTACGAGGAAAAGGGGGGGCGGTTCTTTCTTGCAACATTTCCCACACCAACCCATCCCAACCCATCACAAAACAGCACAGCACCTGCAAGCTCCTTCATGGGAGCCAGGGGCTGAGAGGCATCGGTGGGGGGCGGAGGTGGGGGAGGCTCCTTCTTGCGGCTGAAGGACGACATGGCAGAGGCGAAGCGACCTCCCCCACTGTCTCCTGTCGACTGGTGGAAGGTTGTTAAGGGGGGAGGGGGGGTGGCGTGGAAGAACGAAGAATAAGTGAGGCTGATCAGTGGAGAGTGTGGGAGAGGAAGAGAGAGGCCTTACTTACGGAGCGAACGACAGAGAGAGCAAGAGCACCTACTGAAGGAAATAAAGGAAGAGACAACTAGCAGGGTGAGAGAGAGGCAACGACTCACAGAGCGGGAGAGAGGCAACGACTCACAGAGCAGGAGAGAGGCAACGACTCACAGAGCGGGAGAGAGGCAACAACTCACAGAGCGGGAGAGGCAACAACTCACAGAGCGGGAGAGAGGCAACAACTCACAGAGCGGGAGAGAGGCAACAACTCACAGAGCGGGAGAGAGGCAACAACTCACAGAGCGGGAGAGAGGCAACAACTCACAGAGCGGGAGAGCACGCCTCGGTCCTGGAGGCCCTTGCGTGCCACTTCCAACTCCTTCCATAGCTTCTCCTGCCTGCCGGGGAAAACAGGGAAAAAGAATAGACGAGGTGGGGGGGGAGGGAGGGGAGGGGGCTTGAGGCACCTTAGAAGCCGGCCCTTGCGAGCCACTTCCAACTCCTTCCATAACTTCTCCTGCCTGCCTGCTAGGCAGAAGACGAACAAGAGAGGGCGGTCCAAGTTTGGATTGAGGGCGAGGCACAAGTCTAGTGCAAACAAACTTAGTGCAAGGGAGGTACAAGTTAGGTGTGAGGGGGCACGAATCTAGTGCGTCAGCACACGTCAAGTGCATCAAATTCGGTATGAACCTACGGATGCACAAGTCAAGGGTGAGGGGGGCGGCTCGAATCAGGGGCGTGCGAGGGCGGCATGAACCACATGGTGGGGCGGCAGGCAGCTCACAGCTTATACTCTGCCTCAATGAAGTGAGACGGCGGCACGATTCAATCCTCACAGCTTTCTCTCCAATTCTGTTCAGCCTTCACATGCTCACTATTGATAATCCCACATGCCCCTTCTTTCTTTCTTATCCCATCCTCGTCATAACCAGCGTCCTCGTCCAATCAGAGTGCGACATGCTGGACTATGCTTCTGACTACTTGCATCGGGTCCAAAGGACAAAATCACATGTCATGGCCAAATGGGTTCTGACTGTCCTCCCACCCACCAAACCGTCCGCCGGACCAGTTCTCAAACCATCTACCGAGCGTGCTACCGAACCATCCACCGAATCAGTTACCAACCAACCCACCGAAGTAACTCCTACTGAAGAGTCCCAAGCCAGCAACAGTTCCTCTCATGATGCAACGTACGGTCCAGATTCGCCGTGCGACCATGCCATCCACGGCCGCTGGCTGTTCAACGCACAGAAGCTGGCCTACGAGTGGCAACTCTACCCCTGCGCGCACCCCCTCCCCCCCGTCTCTCAGTGGCTCTCCGCCCTCCAATCCCGGGGTATTTCCGAGATTAACTTTGTCGGGGATTCTCACGTGCGCTTCCTATACCACCACCTCTATTTTCTACTCACTGGCAAGGCTAATGCTTCCACTGTACACTACTATGCCGACCTCCAATTGGTCGTGCCGCCCCCTAGCCCAAATTTGCAGCCTCTGAAGCTCAATTTCTACTGGATCGGAGGGATTTACATCGACGGGCCTTTTGGATGCAGGTGCAGTGTGCGAGCAACGCTTGTCTCTTTTATTCTAATCTGTTCCATGGTTTTCATCCCTTGATTTTGTGGCGTTCATCTCTCGATTGAGTAGCAATGCAACCGCTGCCTCAGCACCTGCATCCCCCACGTGGCTTGATCCCTCCCGGAGGATTCAAGGCTCTAAACACACGCCATGTGCCTTCCTGTCCTTTCTGCCACTCCTCCCTTCACTGTAATCACCATGCAGCTATAAGAACGTCACGGCATTTGAACTGCTCACGTTTCCAAACATTTCCTCGACAGCCAATGTGACGCTTGTAGACGGTGGATTCTGGATGACGATTTTCTGTGCCGAGCCGGAGAACGCGTTGGGGCATTATCTTCCCAACTACCTGCAGTGGGTTTACTCTCAGAGGGAACTGGCAATGCAGGCGCAGCAACAGCAGCAGCAGCAGCAGCAGCAGCAGCAGCAGCAGCAGCAGCAGCAGCAGCAGCAGCAGCAGCAGCAGCAGCAGCAGCAGCAGCAGCAGCAGCAGCAGCAGCAGCAGCAGCAGCAGCAGCAGCAAAAGAAAAAGCAGCAGGAAAATCAAGCTTCAGTGCTGCCTTCTAGGCCGGGCCCGTGGTTTCTGTTTCGAAGCATCCCTCCAAGACGGCTCAACGACTTTTGCTACGACGGAACAAATACGCTCATTTCACACATGAACAAAGTTGTTGCTGGGCACTTGGGACGGTACGGCCTGCAGCTTCTCAATGATTGGCTGATCGCAGCCCCTCGCCCCGACGATACGTGCGGGCCAAAGGATCCACACCACACCTGCTTTGTTGAGGCTGCAAACGGCAAGAATAATAATAACACGGGAACGGATGGAAGGTATGAGGGGGCCGTGGGTGAAGCGATGGTGTGGAATTTGGTGTACCATCTCCTGTATAATTTGACGTGAATATGCCTGAGCGAGTGCACCGTACTTGGGCTCAAAATGCACCACGTATATGGTTTTCCCAAGGTCTTACTTTAGGACCCAATTGCAGGCAAGCCTCACATCTGTTCAGGTGTTTCACATTATATTGCTCCTTTACTGGTAGGATGCACATATGTACTTGGAACTTCTGCAAACGGTATTAGACGTCGTTAAAACCAGACCCCTACACCCTACACCAGCAATAGCCTGACAACCTGGCAACATGAAGAGGATTGATACTGTTACTCTTCCTCCACGAGGAAATCAATCCATGCGATGTGACAACTGTGAAACAAGGGCATGTCAAGTCCTCAGACTTGTAAGTCACACAAATCACCTCGTAAGTACCAATACTTGCGCTGAAACCAGTGGATGGGGCAGGAGGGGTTCTCCTAGACGTGGCACGCAAGGGGTTCCCCATCCCCCCTCCTGCATCCGTCCCCCCTGCCAGGGTCTGCATCAGAGGACTCGCACCCGTCGCTCGCAAGTTACTTGAAGCTGAAACCAGTGGGTGGGGCAGGAGGGGTTCTCCTAGACGTGGCATGCAAGGGGTTCCCCGTCCCCCCTCCTGCATCCATCCCCCCTGCCAGGGTCTGCATCAGAGGACTCACACCCGTCGCTCGCAAGTTACTTGAAGCTGAAACCAGTGGGCGGGGCAGGAGGGGTTCTCCTAGACGTGGCACGCAAGGGGTTCCCCATCCCCCCTCCTGCATCCATCCCCCCTGCCAGGGTCTGCCGCAGCGGACTCGCACTCCTGGCAGTACTTGCAGACGGGACCATGGGC